CTAGGTTACACCACAAAAAAAAAAAAAACATTGCACAATGTTATCTTGCAAAGTCAAACTTTGTATCATTTTTCTGAAAAAATAAAATGACATAATCCAGACCTCTGTTTGAAGTAGAACAACATCATACCACAAACAAGTCAAACTAATTATGGGTCTAGATACAAATTTTTGATGATTAGCAGGTGGCATTCTTAATATCAGTGACCTCATTGTGTTTGTTCAATAATTGCATTTTTTCAGCATGCTTACACATTTAATTGCAGCATCAAAGTAATGACACACAGCAGTCGCATATAACACATCTGGTTCATGCTGCTTCAAAAATTGTAAGTGCATTTTAGGTGCCAATGAAAATACTTTAGGGCTTTTAAAACACGTTTTCAATGTGTTTGAATGTAAGTATCACCTGGAGTACTTGAGAAAATAATGTACAGAATTTAAAACACACTAAAATAATTCATGCAAGATTTCCTAAAATGCATGTAATGCATTGACACTTAGTAACTTTTTCTTATTTTTTAACTGGTTTGCTTATTATTTATTTTTAATCATGCACTTAGTGCACCAGTGCACCAGTGTCACATTGTGATAAATAAGATGCTATCTTTGTGATTTGCTAGAGTTCCTGAGTAGGGCATAAATTATTTTCCCCTGATCTTTAGTGTTAATCTAACAGCTGAAGCAAAATGTTTTGCTTTTCATCCTTTTCATTCTTGCTTTTCAGCACAAATGTCTTTTTTAATCTTGCTGTTAATGTAGAATTAACAGCATTTTCCTTTCATTGTTTTGTGATGAAAGGAATTTTGTTATTGTTTGTTTTGCATGTTAATGAAGCTCAATTTCCTTTGAGGAAAGTTTATAAAGACACTTTTGAGAGCTTTGTCCTTATTGCTTACAAAATACAGTATATAAAAGTAAAGAAAACAGGAGAAAATCTAAGTACAGTATTTGTGCTGCACTTATTAAAAATAAATGAATAACAATAATAGTAGTATTTTTCAGTTGACACCATTCTGTAAATAATGATTATTTTAGCATTGTTTTAGACATTTCTTAACGTTACCAAAAATGTTGTGAGCTTAGTTTTTGTTTCTCTTAGTAAACAGTAAAATTAGAAAACTGATTTAAGGAATGACCTAAGGAAAAATGTCCAAAATGGTAAAGTAAAGCTGTTCATTTCCTGTTATAATTGCTCTTAAAGGGATTTTAAACAAATTGTTAGTTTGTTAAGCTAAACATCCCTATTTAAATCGAAAAACACTTTTCCGTATCCAAAATACAGAAGTGTCTCACTCCATAACACTTTTTCTGACAAATGTTTTCCATTCCATGCTTGTATATTTTTGGCTTGCATAAATACTCCATACTATAGTCTACATCAGAGAATGTTTCTCTGCGACATCTCAATCTATTTGTGCTCATTATACTGAGATTGCCACCTGACTCCCTACAAAAGGATAGTGTTTCCCAGCATCCATCATTTCAGACTACTATGATGTCAGGAAACCAACTATAATGTCAGTTCTGCCCATCCATGACTGACATTGAGTGCATTGTTTTCTGTGGAGGCTCAATGGCTGGCCTAAAGGTAAATTCCAGAAAGCTGTTTGGAACACAAGCCCTTTTGTGCCCTATTCCCCTTCTCTCCACTGTATTTGAAGCCCTTTTCTAAACTGAAGAGTGCATTCATGTGTGAACTTGTGCAATATCGTTTTACATACATGCAGGCCTGAAGCTACCACTGCACAAAAGTATACATGACCAAAGAGAGCCTGGAGGAAGAACAAATGTGGCAAAGTTCAGTAACACACTCAAAGGTCTGAGATTGCATTTCACTGCTGTCTTGGCAAATATGCTTTTAGACTATTACAAATGCACTGTGCTCTGCTTGGTATAATTTTGTGAAAGGAAAATCTCCACCTTTATAATCATCATGAATCATGCCTTAAAATATATTAGTCATGAATGTCCATTCAATTGTGTCTTTATTGACTATTATTTGCATGCTATCTCAGCACTGGAACAACGGTTAAACCTCCATATTCTGTCCATGTAGATATAGTGCACCGATACCCACAGCCCACAACTGAATTGTTTACACAGATTTAAAACATACCTAGAACTTTGGAAAATGATCATCTGAGGTCAATGGATATTTTGATCAGTGACAAAACTACTTTAAATAAAGGATAACAAATACTTATATGTTTACAGATTCCAAATCAATAGACCTGCAAGACTTTGACGTCAAGATAAATTTGGAATGTTTCATGACTGACAAATATTGGTAGCCATAAGAGGCCAAATAAAAATTGTTAAATGTTAACTTTGAAAAGAATAATAACATATTTAAATACCCCTTTATCATTTTCTGTCTTCACTAAAATATACTTGTTACATTTCTGTTGAGGTAAAGTCATTGTAGCTTGTAGTTTTCATGAGCTGCTGAGTTGTAAAAATTTTGAAATGCAAAATTAATCAAGTAACAAATTACAGCCTGACTTCCTATCTGAACACAATCTTATTTTTTAGATTCATTTGAATTTTTTAATGCAAAAGAGAAAAAAAATATCCTGTTTCAGACAGCTAACACCTCAGAGACAACTGTGGACATTTTGCATCACTTGGGATCAAAGGAAATACAGTACAAAAACACAATGATGTGGCGCATCACACATTTTTATTAATGATATACAAAACAGAGAACTGAAACTGCACTAGGACTCTATACATTGGTACAGTAGGTGGGGTTGTTTTCAGCATTCTTCGTTTTATAAGGAAACATATTTGGTTAAAAATGCAGATCTTAAGCCTGCCAAAAAGAATTTTTAGAATTTTAAAATGCAGCAGGTGAGAAAACCTGTCTTCTTCCTGCAGCTGTCCTTGTAAGGCAGTCGGCAAATGGGACATCTGTTCTTCCAGGTGTCAGAAATGGACTCCAGCAACTTGTCTTGCTACTCAGTTACGCATAAGAACTGGTGCAAGTGACATTATGATCTGCAAAGAATGGCATGCTGCTGAAAGGAGCCCTGTGTTAGAATTACCTTTAGCCACGGACACAGTTGCAGGCCACAGAACTTAAAGCAGTGAGTCAGATTAAAAGAGGAGGGGATGATTCTGACTAAAGTCAGATGTCAATGTACAATACTGCTGTGACCAGATATACATTGTGCAAGTTGTGTCAAGACAGATTGATAGCGCTTAATACTGTCGGTTAAGGAGAAATTCACAACTGGAGACATACACTACAGCACCACATACATATATAACCATGGTGTACTACTACAGGGGTATCTCAGCTTGTCGTGATATCATCCACTATCCAGAAACTTTGAATTTTACAGGTTCAGGCCAACACGGTAGTAGCTGTTACTCCTACAGTACTAGCAGGTCAGTGTTTTACAGCTGGCACTAGTCAGGCAACTGGCTGGTAAGTATATAATATGCTTGTATGTATAGTGTGTATATTAGAATTCATAAGATAGTTCTGTCTCCTGCACTGATTGAATGAAAAGTTCATTAATATTCATACCTGTAATTGAGAAATTAAATAATCAATATACACTTGACTTGCTATACGGTGAATAGTCCACATAAAGGGCCATCCAACTTGCAAATCTTTGGACTATGGGTGTATGGAACAAGTTAAGTAGCTGTGCTACCCAGATGAGATCCTTAAATCACTTACTGTAGCTACTAAATATGAAATGGTTTACATGTCTGAAATACCTCATCTTGTTTGTAATGTTTCTTAAGGGTACATGCTACTGCAGTAATTTATATTTAATACAAACTGTACTTTTGTTGTTATATTAATTATATTGGGCATTAAGTAAACAACTAAAGGCTGGCTGTATAAGAAGTTAGCAATGGAAAGCATTGAAAATGCCACAGGCTGAGCAACATTTTTCTGCCTTCTACAATATTAAGTTAAATTACATTTCACTATCATTATATACTGTATATTCCATTTTGATACATTGCTGGAAATAATAGAAGCTTTCTTTTCAGCAACAAACGTGACCTCTGTTCGTCTAGTGATTTCAGATGTAAAAGCCGTCTCCATCTGAGCATGAATAGTGAAACTGTAATACTTTTTTGGCCTGTAAAGCACTTGGAAGCAGTTCTGTCCAATCAGACAACCGCTAGGAATGCAATTAAAGTAATTTACATTTTCTTAACGTTCCACAGAGGCCTTTGATATGAAATACAAAAGCAGAACTTTTCTTTTAAAAATCACATTTTACATGTTTGATATGAATTACTAGTACTACTGCTATTTCAACTCCACTTCTTAAACACGGTATTCTTTATTGATGCTGAAACTAGAAGACAAGACTGATATCCAACAAAGCGTCATTATGTGCCTGAAGGTAACGCAGAAATTAACAAAGAGTAACAATTTGCTCACTCTCTGTTATTAATGTATGTCTCTCATTAACAACAAAATATGAATCTATTATGCACAGTAAATTGCACCTACAATAGATTCAAAAGAGCTGCCACCATGCGCCCCTAGCTGTGGCGAGCTGCGTTTTCATTTTAAATGCAATGAACTACATTTTCCCAGAAATATAAAGTGGTTTAAAAAATATCACATATATTATTTATATATATATAAAATATTCAGGTTTGAATCATTCGAAATTATTCTGTAGCTCAACAAAGAGATCCAATAATTTACAGTTATTCTACAAAACAATTTCAAACAATTGAAAAGCATTTGTCATAGATTGACATTACCGGGTTTTTGGTTTGTTTGGTTTGTTTTCTCAAGTTTTCCGCAGACACAATTTAAACAGTTTAAAAACTTGTCATCACTCTGGGGCTAGCAAGTGAGTTTAATCCTTGGTCCTCTGACAACCTTTTTTCTCTTTCTAACCCTGTCCTCCCCCCTTTTTTAACCCCGAATCACGCTCCTCCTCTAACCCCTGGCCCCCACCTCAGGACGTAAAAATTTACAACAACAGCAGGGAGAACCAATGAGCGCCCGATGAACTTCGGCGAGGGGTTGAGCGCAGAAAGAAAAATGAGAGAGAAAGAGGGAGAAGTCAGAATGCGAATAAGTGGCGTTGCTGTTTTTTGTGTTTGTTTGCTATCTCATGCATGCATAATGAGGGATAATTAGAGCATGCTGTGACTGTATTTCTTGTATTTAAGGCTCTTAATAACCGGTAAACCGAGAGGAGAAGCCTTTAGTTTGCTCTGTTGTAAGTGAAGCAACAAGAAGGAGATTGCTGGTATGGTATTGCACCCGGCCAAAAATCACTGGAACTGCAGCACAAGGAATACTTGCCGGACTGCGAGGGAAGTGTCTGTGGGGAATACGTTTTTACTACACCAACTGTCAAGTCGCGAAGAACTTCGAATACAGGATTCTAACTATGTTTTTGTTTAATTAACAATTGTCTATGAAGAATAGAAGAAATGACCACGCTTCAAAACAGAACCCTGCGGTACACCACTGATCGAAATCTTTTTAAAGTGCCTAAAAGTAGGTTACTTCACGCATGTTACTAACGCAGATGAAGTAAAGCACTTCGCTTTTATAAAATCGCAGACTAATGGTGAGAGTGTAGTGCAATCAAACTTTTGTTCTTCTGCAACTCCTTGAAATTGAACAAAGACTGGATTGCTTCCCTGTGAAACATTTAATGGAAATATAAGGTACTTATGCCCACATTTGACTCAAGTTTTGCTTTATTTCTGCAGCCACCACCATGTCAAATTTTACCGGCTTAAAGCAGTGCTTCAGTAGCTTGATTTGGCCTTTTGGGTGTTTATTTGTGTTTTTTGGCTCATTTTCGATATCTTCCCCTACACACGGTCGACGGATGATATGCTGGCAAGCAATCATGCAATGTCAGGGAGAACCAGAATGCAACTATGCATATGGACAGTACATGCATGCCTGTGCACCCGTAATAAGCGGAGAGAAACACCGTTGCCCTAGTCACTGCATCTCCTCTCTCATTCAGCTAAACCAGACAAAAAATGGACCATCTTTGGAAGATTGTGACTGTGCTGCGGATCAGCTTTGCAGAAACACCAAACGTGCCATAGAGCCCTGCTTGCCAAGGACTAGCGGAGTAATGGGCTGCACAGAAGCCCGTCGCCAGTGCGATAGGGATCCTCAATGTAGTGTTGCTATGCGCAATTATTTGATTCATTGTGGAAAACTTTTCAGTGGGATACGATGCACAGAATCGTGCCGGGATGTGATCGGAGATATGCTTGATATGCCTAAAGCAGCACTTTTGGACAAATGTGTCTGTGATGGAATTGAGAGGCCCATTTGCGAGTCAGTAAAGAACAATATGCAAACTCTTTGTTTTGGGTCCGAGAGTTATGGTAGCGGCTGGACAGACGGGTCGGACGAAGATGATGAAGACGATGAAGATGAAGAAAGAGTCCTTCAGCCAGTGGAAAGCGCTAGTAGCCTTTCAAGAGCCCGAGATGTCTGGACTGTGGTGGCATCCATTTTACTTCTGTTCTCTCTTCTCTAGCCCCGGGTTTATCTTGTTCCAGGACTATTGTTAGATAAACGCATTTTGAAAACTTTTGTCTCTCAACCATGCGGTTTACAGTTGAATGTGTTTTGACTCCAAAGACTTTGTATTCGGCTTTGCATGACAGTGTCAACTTTTTAAACGTCTACGAATTTCTGTTCTGAAGGTTGTCGTGTTAGTACGCTGTGATTTATTTCTATGCAACTTTTTTTACAAAGTGGATACATTGATCACAGTTAACTATCTCTGGTCAGCAGTAATGCCTTTTAAATCTCAGTATTTATTTTTTGCATTAATGGTCTGAACTTAAAGTAACTGTGGCTACCAAATACCTAAAGTTAAAAAATACTACTGCCTTAAGCTCTTTTTTAGTTAGCTAAACGCTATATTCTGTGACTATACAACGACTGCCTTTACTTTTTCTTGAATATGTGAAAATAATTTTTATATTTGTCACTTCAGGTGAACACACAGAAAAGCTTAAAAAGTGTTTCTTTCTCTGAGAATGAACAATGCAAGTTTAAAATAAAAAGCTGTGCACTGCCAATTCACAAAAATGAACTAGTGTTTTAAAACATGTAAACTATTTTTATAATGTTGCCTTCAGTGGTATCAGGGTATTTACCTCTGGTATAACATCTCCATTATGTGTATTTAATACTGGAATTAATCACCAGTAGACTTGTACATAAAATGTTATAAAATGTATGCCTCTGAAAATAATTTATTTACAAATGTGTTCACATCAGTTCCATAAATTAGTTTCAATATTTGATGTTAAGTCAACTCAATGTTTATATTAAAGGGAAATTAGTTATTTTGTTGTCTGGTTAAGTTTAAACCTTCACTGTATGGAGTATTGTATAGATTTTTCAGAGATAATCTTTTTGCTATCTTATGTTAAGAGGATTTATTTACTGTTTAGAAATGTCTAAATTCACTGTATGACTGCCTTAACGTTGTATTTTTTTATAGAAGGCATAAAAAGAGACTTATAGTTAAAGAGCTCCCCAGACTATGTTGTCTTGTTACTATGTACATGTATCAATGTAAGAAACTATTTTTACTCTTAGGCATATATTGAACTCAACAAGTGTTAAAAACAACACAATCTGGTTTTCAAAAAATTAACAAGGCACAAGTCTGTGGTAAAATGAATTACTGTATCAGTTTAATTTCTAACTGTATTTTTTAACACAACATAGTGTTAAGCAAAGCACATCATTGTTTAATTGGTTGATTTTACCACAACTTTGTGTTCTTCCCGTTTAAACACGAGATAATTCTATGTTTCAGCGCAGCGTTTGAGTGTAGATAACGTTTTAAAAGTTGTCATTGAAGTAAAAGTAAGACACTCGATTTTAAATCTCATGTCAACTACCTAAAATGCTTACCTTGCACCTTACAGATAAGTGTGTGTTCATGTGTATATGAGATTCGTCAATTCATTTAGAAATGTAATGTGTCGAGTTATTATGGTGCTAGTGCGGATAAAGGGTAAATGTTTGATGTGGATAATGGTTTGGTCGGTATTTCGTGGCAGTGACATCAAGTTGCTTTTGAAACTTTGTCCTCTTTCCATTCTAAGAGCTGCTAGTCAACGCTTTCAAAGACCTTTAGATAAATAATTACGCTCTTAAGAAGCTTGGAGTGCCGATACACTTGACCTTGTAAATAGAAATGTTTGCAGTAGGAATAAACTCCGGCATTTGGAAATCTTTTAAACATGAGCACAAAAGAGAGATTATTTCTCAGGGGACTTACGCTCTAAACGCGCCAAGCAAGGCACTTGCGAGTTTATTTATCTTTTATTCAAAGTGATTATTTAAAAACTTTTTTTAAACCATTGCGGTCAAGAAAGTGAGAGCTGAAGTATTACCGCAACTAACCTTGGTTTGAGACTAGAAAACGCGTGAGGGTGATGAGCTTTTTCGCTGCTAATCATTTTACTGAGGAATAAATACACAAATGTTTCTATTTAGCAAGTTACCCACACATGAATTTTCTTTGAACTCTTTCAGTCTAATTTATAATAATTTTAAGACTGTTTTTCAAGAGGATTCTATAGAAAACAAAACGACACGTTTCACTTTTAGATTTAATTATATTTGAACACATTTTCTTTGAAAAGTAAAAGTTATTTTAATAACAATGTTTTCTATAGGGTAAATGGTCGTTCGTGACTGTTAAAATATTATGACCCTCTTTTCTTATCATCTAAAGGGACATTAAGTAACAATCCACACCAGTTTTTCAAGCGTTATATTCTTTAAAAGTCAATCTTTTGTCCTTAATGGACACAGAAGTTTTTTTCCCTGCAAGAAGTAAAAAGCATCAACTCTAGGAACGTCTCAGTGCCGGCAGCTGTACTGATAGTTAACTACTACAATAAACCCAAGATTTGATTTTACAGGCTCTTGTCAAAAGCATCTGTCTGGAATAAATCAACCCAGAAAAGCACTTTTGGATAGGGTAGGAACTAACACCCCTCCCTCCCCCCCCAAGAAAAAAAAATATTGCTGTTGTCTGTTGATCACCTATTCAGCCTCCATTTAAACTTAAAGGCACTGTTATGATTAAACGTACTTTAGAATATTACATATCAATTGTGTATTAAAAAAGAAACAATAAATTCAAATATTACATGCCCATTATTATTATTACTATTGCTATTGTTATCTCTATGTTGGATTCACGCACGAATACAACGGTAATATTCAACGTTTTGCTTGGGATCCTAAACATATATATATATTTCTACTTACTAATGGAAAATAGGAACATATTAAGCTAAAAATACACATATTTTTTCCATCGGTAATTTGAACTGTAATTTGTTGTTGTTTTCTCTGGTAGCGTTTTGTGCCGCTCGCTGTTGATCAATTTCATTTGCCTTGCCTCTTATTATTCGAGGTTTTTCATTGGTAGACACTTCAGTGGACAAAAGTTAAAAGGGCTGAAGTACAAAGCGGCAGAACAACGGGGTACATTGAACTGACAGTGACAATACAGTAAATAGACTACTAGAGCAAGGGATTCAGGCTTCGCTGGCTACTAAATACACAAAGCCTTGCCTTAATTTGTGCTTTAGACATACGCAGTTACATGCTGGGCAACTGTTGCAGTACTTTTAGCTTCAGTAATACAACATACATTGAGCAAATGATAACTATATAAGGTATTAAATACAACATTTAGCTCTCACTAATTATAACAATAAAGGACACAAATATTACTCTTATTTCAGGCATTTTATGATTACTATTTTAAATATAAAGACTTCACAAAAGTCGTGTTAGGGTTTCAAGGTGCCCTAGCGATAAATGCAGACATAAGCGTGTTTATACTATGAAAAAAAACAGCATAAACGAGTTATGGGCTGCGTTTAGTGATGGCACTCTCGCATTAATGCATCACTCCACACTCAAAGTGTCAAAGTTATTATTTCTGACAAAAAGGTAGCGAAATGGTGGTAATAAGAACATAATTCTCAAATTTGTTTCGTAGTCAGAGTTTATGTATTTATTGTCACGAAATGTTGCATAAAACAGCTTCTTAAAAGAGGAGTAAATAATTCCATACTTGAGTTTCAATTTTTTGTTTGTTGTTCATCTTTAAAAAGCATACAGTATTTCCTAGCTCTTGTCACTTGAAACTCCAAATCAAGGATTGCAGCAGTGTGGTATTAGAGGAGGGATGAGAGCCCTCGAGTTGAATTAATCGGGACAAAGTCGAGTGGCACTTTTGTCATGGAAATCTTAAGCACATAATAGTTCATCCTAAACAATGTGGAGGGCGCTTCATTCCTTCAGTCTTGTTGTCACCATTTCTAAGAGGAACTGCGGGGAAGGATGTGGGAAAGATCTGTTGATTCTCAGTGTTTGCTTTGCATCATTGCATGCGGTTTGCTGTAGTACAGGAAGACTGATACACTTTTTCCTAAATAAACAAACGATATTTCAAATGGATTAAAATTTGTAATTGCCTAAATATGCTTCTCTGTCTATTATGTAGCTCTTTGGATAAGTCCTACGTTTTCTTAGAAACACATAAAATATTGTTTATAATTGTATAGCAAAGTAAGAAAACAAATGGTAAAAATATATGTAACCAATTAAAGCACAATGTTTAACCCTTTAAAGATTTGAGACAATAGAGTTTCTGCTATTACACAAGGGTAATACGTAATAAAAGTGACCGTCCATGATTAATTCATGAGGAATGGAGGGAGTTATATGAATTACCGATGAATAAACTGTGATTTAAAACAAATTTCATATTAATTTATTGTAAAGTGCTACCACGTAGGAAGACAATAATCATTTTAAAATATTTTCATGCAAAACATACTGTACAATTTCTAAATGTTTCTTTTGCTGCTTTTTTCCGTCTCTTTTAATGAAAACATCCAACAGAAACCTCCAGCCTTAAGGGTTTTTGATGTAGCAAGCTATTATATTTGTGATAAAGTAAAACTCTACTGTAAAGACTATCACCAACCTCAAGTTCTGTGACAACGTCTTGGGATATTCTCAATTGTTTTGTTCTTTAGTTATGCTTTGTGTTTAAGTGTTAGGCCTTAGTGAAAGCTGAATCAATTATTCATCAGAACTTTACAACCTAAACAGTGTACCAAGGCAAATTCACAACCTAAAAAAATTATTCTGTATCTTTCAAGAATACCAATACTATCTTCAAACATTTCAAATGACAAACATGTGACCTGTTTGTCATTTTAGTTTCTGAATTAAATTATTATTTTAATCTGATACAGTACTAAATGTAGAACAGTGTTTATTAGATATGTTTGAGATTATTCTTTGTATTTGTGTTGACTTTCAACCATACTGTCTTAAAGGACAGTAGCTAGGTCAATATGTTTCTGTTTTCGTATTAAAGGTTTATTTTTTTGTGGGAGCTTTATACTATGCTCAGAAGTCTATCATGATATAAAAACAAAAAACTGTCAAAACATGACAACTGTAAAAAAGAATAACAACCATAATAACAACAGAAAAGCATCAGAATTTAAGTAAAGTTGGGATAAGGGCAAAGAACTATGAACACTGGAATGCAAAGATGTTTCTCTTTCTGCAAAATAATGCAGAAGCTGGCATTAAGTATTAATCATCTGGCCAAATTGAACCTGACCCTGGTGTACCTTGTTATTAAAACACAAAACATGAAACACTGAAGGCATTGCATTATAATGACACAATGAATGCATTGTAGACACTACTGCTAGTAGATTAAATCCATCTATCCATTTTTTAACCTCTTTATCCAATACAAGGAGGTGGGATGGGATACACCCTGGACTGGATGCCAGTCCATCACAGGGCACACACATACTCAAACACACACACACTCACACCAGGGCCAGTTTTGCCAGAAGCCAATTAACCTATCAGTATGTCTTTGGATAGTGGGGGAAAAGGGAGTTAACCGAATCACCTGAAAAAAACTCTCTTGAACGGGGGAGAGCATGCAAACTCCACAGAGATAGCACCACAGGAACTGAACCCAGGTCTGTGAGGCAGGAAGGCTAACCACTGTGCAGCTGCTCCACCATGTCACCCAAGTAGGTTAAAGTGTTTTGTAAATACCACCAAATTACTAACACAAATGTATTAACACAGATTGATCTTTTTTTTTCAAAATAATGCATGATTTTCACTGTCTTCACAAAATGATTTTGAAAATCAAAGCATCTTGTACCTACTATAACACCCTTAAAAATCATATGGTACATGTAATTAGATAAGTGCTGCCTTTATTATCGTACAATAATATTAAATATGTTTTCTCCTTGTCTATGTAGCAGATATCCTGGATATCTCTTACTGTAGTTGTGTGGAGTACTAATTCATTTTGTTAAATATTGTGTCATATTACTACTAGATTTTGAGAAGATTGCAGGGCAGCGTTGATGTTACAGCACTTCTTTTCACCAGCTAAATGAAAAGACCAAAACATATGCCTCATTTTGTAATAGTAAATGTAAACATTCAGAGGTGTGAATTTAGCATGACACAATGCAGGCCTGGGAACCCAATTTGTTTTTTTCATGTTGGCTAAGGTTTAAAAGTTGGAAATTAAAAGTGTAAAATAGAGCACATTGTAAACTAGTGCAAAAAGTTTTACACATTAACTGCAAGCTTATTACACAAAGTATAATTCAAAACCTATAAATAATTGGGTTTGATATTTCCATAAAATGTTCAGATTTGGTTCATGTATATCTCTTGATGTGTAGTATAAGTATAAGTACAGCAGAAATGGGGTTTTGGTTTTATTGTTATATGGGATTTTTCACCCTTAGAATGTACTGTACTAGACTTATGTCTGACCAAATAATCATTGTACATAACTCTGCCTTTCACATGAATTTCCTTCATGCTTTTTTGCTTTGAGTTGTGCCTGAAGATATTGGAGTTTGTACCCTTCCAAAGTTTTCCTTTCTTACATTTGTCTTTGTAAAATTGTCCTTTAGTTATGTAAAAGCATAACCATATATTTTGGAATATATACATAGCCTGTGCAAACACATAAATATACTGTCTACTTATTTTCCAAAAACTGTTTTTTTATGGCAATGTGTAATGCATTTGAGTCTTGTAACCAATGTTTTTATGGCTGCTCACTATAGGGCACAAAAGGGGACCGTCGCTTTAAGAAAGTGCAGGCCTTTTTGCCCATTAATAATTGTATTGCTTCTTTATTATTGTTCGGTATAATGAAAGAATGGAAGTGTTGGCCCCCAACCCGACTTTCCCCTGAAATGTTTTCAATTAACTCCTGGCACTGACAGGAAAGCACCAAACGTTTCCCATGCTGAAATATGGAAAATCTGCAGGGAACATCTCAGCAGGAGTAGAATTTCATTAAAACAAGCACATCATAATTCAGCGACTTCTGCTCTCTCACTAAGACCTTCTATTGATAAGGAGTTTGAAATGAATTTTATGGATTTGCAAAGAG